AAACCCGAATTCAAAAAATATTGAATATTCAAAAAAAAATTGTGCGTTTGATAACCTTTACTCGGAACATACAGAACCTATATTCAAAGAATTACGCATTTTAGATATTTTCAAAATAAATGATTACCTAACTGCTTTGTTTATGTATCGATACTATTATCTTAAAAATTTACCAGAAGCATTTGAAAATTATTTTATAACAAACAATGAAATTCATAACTACAATACAAGAAATGCAACAAAACTACACAAGTGTTGTAAAAGAACTAATTATGTCATACATACTCTTTCTAACAAAGTGGTTAATCTATGGAATAAATTAGATACAAAATTCAAAAGATTAAACTCTTACAATGTCTACAAAAGATTAATCAAACAACATGTTATAGTGAGCTAGATCTTCTTCAACTTATATGCAATGACCACAGATATACAGCAACCGTTGATTCTATAGCGAAAATTGTGTAATCTTGTAACTGTATATTATGATATAATATCCTTCTTTTGTAAATAGTATATACTTTTAGGTCTTACTTCAATAATTACTCTTCACTGTAAATATATATGCAATTTTTTTTAAACGTAACTAGTGGCCTACATTAAAAAGCCTGAAAAGGTTCCCAGTAGGTCTCTAGCCCAACACCTTCAAACTACACATAGTTTTTGTTACTTATTATTGTACATACACATGGGAAATAAATATATATTGATTGATTGATTGATTGATTGATTGATTGATTGATTGATTGAGTCGTTTCTTTAAATTAACCGGCTGATACACCTGTTCGTGTTTGGTTTTTCGCTTAGCACTGTTTCTTTTCGACATGGCTCAAACATGATGAAATGGTATGTCCTTTAGGTGCGGAAAACATATGCATATAAGTTGTTAATTTAACAAAAACGTTGTTAGATTTATTTCTCAACTTTTTAAGATCCGAAACACACTCAGCAAATTTTCAAACAATATGTCTTATGTTAGCGAAGCTTATAACTCCTTGGTCTTTGTGTTTTTTTTTATTGAGTTTAGCTAAACTTGGGCTTTGATACTTCTAAAGTTGCATTAATTATAAAGTCTCCATTCCTTTTGACCGTCATAATGTCGGTCAAGCCGCCAGTCGAGTTGCGGACTAGCAAGAATTATATGTTATTTTAGAAACCTGTGTTTTCAGATATAGTCATGTCATGCCCCAATCATTTTCACATGCCTCCACGACCTCTTTCATCGCAAAAATTGTATAAAAAGCAGGACGGTTAATGAGCTCATGCATCTCACCAGCATTTTGTCATTTTCCGAACATAACAGCCACTTTTTATAGAAAACAAATCATGTGTCTAACAGTTGTAGTAAGCAATGTTTTAAATTATTAGTATGGATAATATAGGGTACGTGCATGGTTTCGAGTGCAATTTATAGTAGATAAAACAAGCACGAGTTTTTCAAAGAGCATCAAATTATACAGCGCTAACGGCTTGAAGTTTTGTTAGGCATGCATGTGTTTAAGGTAAAGTCTTTTCCATTTTGAAAAAAGATAAAAGCCATATTTTCCACCCGAACTCAAGTTTTACTTTACATAGCGCCGCCGCCATGTTTGTTTTGTTTTGTTTTAATTGAAGCAATCTGTGACCGTTACTTGAGGACTGATTGGTTGATTTTAGATCCGATCGTTTTTCCACCAATCAGATCAGTTTGAGATGCTTTTTGAGATTAACTGCACTGAAATCAACCAATCTCAGCCGAGTTAATTTTTTTTGTTTATTATTATCATGTTGGTAAGGGAAAACTTCTCATCATATATTTGATTAGAAAATAATGTGTGAACTCTAAAGCTAGATAAGAATTAGACTGCAGCGACCAGGTTCTAGTTAAGAATGTTTTATACCAAGTTAGAGAAGTTAGAGTTATCGGTAATTATTCCGATATCGGAAAATGTATTTTTTTACTGGAAATTTTCAGTAACAACAAACTGCATGTATGGTTATTTCCGTTCGCAATGATACAAGAAATAAAACGGCGTTACTATTGAAATTAGCGATAGAATGGCTAGTGGCCACCACTTTTGTACTAATTTGCATATAACCTATATATTTCTGGGAATGGAACTGTAATTGAAAGTCTAAATACGAGATAGCTTTGGCATAATAACCATGCAGTTCAAATTGGATTTGATACATACTGTATAATTTTGAAATAAGAAATTATTTTATATTGATTAAGATACAAAACATTAAATGCTACTATATCTAATATGCCTACCTATTTCTTTTTTATCTGTGATCTCTACTGTGAGAGTTGTCCGTTTTAATTCCCCCCACAAATCAAAAAACAGATCGCCATGATTTTCGGATCGTCTTATCCAATCTTCTTTTGACAATCTGTCTAATCCTTTACCGTTCTGAGATTTTAGTTTAGAAACTTCTTCTTCATCAATCTCATATTCTGTGCACTTATCTGAAACCCAGCTTGCCACTTGTTGTTTGCTCCACATTTCAGGTGATTCTACATAAATTTTAAGAAAAAGATTAACAGGAGAATCTCTTGCATATTACATAACACGCCCTCAAAACAATGAACAACGAATATACTTTGCCCTTGGTTATGACTTTATTCAATTTTTTCATTTTTGATACGCTTCTCAAGCGGCAAACAAACTTTAAAAGTGTGTTTATTGCTTTATCTGTAAAATGATGCTAAAATGAAGAGATTTTCGATGGTAAAAGAGAAAATGATTCTGAATGTCACTAAACGTTGCTCAGGCATTAAAATAAGGATTTTTTACAAGGACACACTTTACGTCCACGCCAAGAGCAACGATCACTTGGAAGTGTGGCAGACTGGCTTGAGCACAAATACTTGTCAACTAAGAACAGGCTTTGTTGAATATTCGTTAAAGTTCAGTGCCTTTTAAAGGTAAAAATTTGTTTCAAATAGGTAAAATGCGGGTCAATAACTTTAGTTTTCAGCGTAACTTGAGCAATACCTAGTTATATCTTGGAGCTAATTCATATATATTTCAGTGCTGTATCAGTAAATATTTTATAATTTGGGGGTCACAAGCAGAAGCTAAGCGCCGTTTTGGCACTTTTGGTAGTCCAATGGTTGAACGCTATCTAACAAGTACGTATTAAATCATGCATTAATTCTAATTGATTCATATTTAAATTTTCAATTGTCAGATGAAAATTCTTAAAGGCGATCCTGATTATTGTAGCATGATTTCTGGAGCATTTGGTAATTTTACAAGCGTTTCTTGACATGTTATAAACAGAAAAGCTAGAAATATATAAACCAGAAATATATATCTGGCTATCAGGTAATAAACACATGATTACTTTGAACAATATTGATGTGGGAAATGACTGGGAATGGATTTTCTGGGCTTTATCCCCAAGGCAAAGTACACTGTCCCAAGTACACACTTTTCAATTTACAATTTACAACGACACATTTTCCTTTTACAAGGACACAAAGTGTGTCAAAAACACGCCGCTTATTTTAATGCCTGACGTTGCTTGTATTGCAAATAAAACCATTATTTTGTGTTTCTCAACTGTCGGATACATTTGAAAAGGTTGTTCACTGTGTAAACTACAAAATAAAGCTAAAACAAAGTAATTTTGAGAGCAACGACAAAAATATGGTTTGTATTGAACACTTGCCATTGCAATTACGCGACAAAAAATTGCCTCTTAACAAGACACGGTAACCTCTTAACAAGACGTGTGGGCGTGACGCGCGGGTGGAAAATTGAATGCATGCATTCAAAAATGTATAACAACCGCGAGCGTCTCGCTATTTCTTCGGGGAAACCTTCAAGTTTCAATGGAAATTTTGGTTAATCTGGAGCGCCAGTATGCGCAACAAATTTCCCAGCTGTTGGGAAAAAGGAATTTTGGAGATTGTGAAAGGATTTTTTAACAAGCGGTTGTGGAAGCACGTGGGTAAGCGCCTGGCTATGGGGCTGGAAAAATCCGAAAGTTGCACGATATCAAATAACAAAAAATACTATTGAAAATTATTAATTTACACAAACCTGTATTAAGTATTTCCGCTGCCTTTTGGTTATCTTTCTTCTTTTTTGTTTTTTTCGCCGGGTTTTTTCTTCTGTGCATGCCTTGAAATTAAATATGCTTTATAATTACTTCAGTTCTAACAGCTTGTTAACGCATTGCCAGTCCGGTTTCAGGTCGTTACATAGTACACTTACTGCTCTTCTTGAAGCCACTAGTAACTGGTCAGTTAATATTGACAATGGCCTCTTCAATGGAGTAATATTTATCGACCTTAAAAAAGCATTCGATACTATTGATCATCAGATATTGCTGCGGAAGCTTCGAATTTACGGTATGGATCAATTAAGTCTCGAATGGTTTCAGTCTTATTTGACCGGTCGATCTCAGAAATGTAATGTTAGAGGTTGCTTGTCATCATCTGCATCAGTTACACGTGGTGTACCACAGGGAAGTAACTTAGGACCATTACTCTTCCTTGTGTATATTAACGACCTTCCTAATTGTCTCAGTGCAGCAGTACCGAGAATGTTTGCTGATGATACGAACATTAGTTATGCGGCCAACTCTATCGCCGAACTAGAAAATGTTATTAATTCGGAATTAAAAAAATCGAAAAGCTGGTTGGAAGCGAACAAATTAAGCCTTAATATCGCCAAGACAGAATTTATGATAATAGGATCTCGACAACGTATGCATGCGCACACTAACGAAAATATCAATATTGACCTGGATGGTCATGTGATTAAACAAGTTGATGAGGCAAAATCACTAGGTGTAATTATTGATAAAAATCTGTCTTGGTCTAAACACATTGATATGAAGTGTAAAAAGATTTCTTCCGCTATAGGTGCTCTTAAGCGAATAAAACCATTTATATCAACTGAAACAGCAATCCAAATTTACAACGCTATAATTCAACCTCACTTTGATTACTGTAGTCCCATTTGGGACGAATTTGGCGCAACATTATGTGAAAAAATGCAAAAATTGCAGAATAGAGCTGCTAGAGTGATTACGAAATCCAACTACGATGTCAGCTCTAGCATTCTCTTAGAGAAACTGCATTGGGACAATCTTTCCTTACGTAGGAAAAAGCACAAGTCTATACTAATGTTTAAAACTATCAATAAGCTAACGCCAGAGTATTTACAAAACATGTTTACATTTCGCAGCACAGATTATAACTTAAGAAATGCAGAAATGAAGCTAAATTTACCAAAACCACGTACGGACTTTATGAAGCGTAGTTTCTGCTACAGTGGAGCAAGTTTATGGAATGCGCTTCCTCAAACTGCACGTACGTCCAAATCATTGAGGCATTTCAAAAATGAAATTAATCAATTCTTGACATTATAATGGGATCCCCACACGGCAATCTTGGAAAACAGTGCATTTTAGTTAGGAAATTAGTGTGTATATAGTGATGTGTGAAATTTATTAATAGTTTTTGTATTTTATTCTACACTGAAGATTTTACCGTGTTTAAATAAATGTTCAATGTTCAATGTTCAATGAAGAGATATCCTACTAAAATGGTTACAATGCATACTACATTTGCCTTAGTGTCTACATTTGCCTTCGTGTGGGATGATTATTATACAACATGGACATAAAAATCGAAAGACGCAGCAGCTCCTGTGATGTTGCTAGGCTCTGGTATAATTTAAACGGCAAAATGATATAGAAACAAAATGGTTCTCCAATGATGCCAATAATGTATGAAGGTTTAATCACAGACAGTCAATTGGTTTAATTGCAGACAGTCAATCTTCTGTTATCTTAACAATGCCCTTAAAAAGAGTCTCAGTCCTAAAAGGGGCTGCAGGACCTAGCATTTTATATCCTTTACAGAGATGAATACAATGTATATCAAGTCTACAAATTCTTATAACTATTGGTATACAAACCTCCTTGCAAACGTAAATTTAAATCAACTGTCGTTCCGTGGTATATTTCTTGGTCAAATAACGACTTATCCAGGTCAATCTTAAAAACAATATAAAATTATATAATGTAATAAATATTTTTTCTTGAAGTACAACGTTATAAATGAAAACGTTGATTATAATTGTACATAGAATGTTAAAAAGCCATATCACACTGCACTACATTAGCAGTTGTAACGTATACGATCGACTACCCTTCCCTTTGAAGAGTTCCCATGAAAGTAGGGGCGTAGGTTGCTTGATAACAGAGACCTTACGATGTAGGACGGCAACGCAACGACAACGGCCAGAATAAAATCATTCAAATAAACGATTGTAAAGAAAGTTTGTAGACTATCATTGATCGTATCAATTTAATACTGTCTGGTTAGCTTGAAATGGTGGCTTTATTGTTGAGAAAGTTCGACGGTAGTACTGAGCTAGTTTGCTGAGTATCAGTTCTCGCGTCTTGAAGTGCAACCGTTTTATCTAGGACGTTAATATCCCATTGTAATAATATACATAAAGATATTACTCGACTGTGATTGGTTCATTTCAGTGCAGTTAATCCCAAACAGCAGTGCATTTTTCTGTAATCACAGTGCAATTTTCTGTAATCACAGTGGAAAAATCTGTAAAAAACTGATCTGGTTGGTGGAAAAACATTGTGATGATTAAATCAACCAATCAGTTTAAAGCAATTTAATTTAGTTTAAAGAAGTAACGGTCACAGATTGCTTCAAAACAAAACAAACATGGCGCCGCGCTACATAAAGTAAAAGTTGCCTTCGCGTGGAAAATATGGGTTTTATCTTTATTTTTAAATGGAAAAGCATTTACCTTAAACAAGACTAACAAAAATTACATAGTTGAGTGGAATTTTCAAGCTGTTAGCGTTGTATAATGTGATATAACAAAGCCAGAAAAACTTTGCTAGTGGAATGTGAAATTGTCTCGAACATTTTTATGTAAATTATTAATAAGTAATAGCATGGTTTCTCGTGAAATTTTGATAAACATGCACTCGTGAGTTTTTCAAAGACCTCAGATAGCATTCGTCCTTCGGACTCGTGATATTTTGTGGTCTTTGAAAAACTCACCCGTGCATGTTATATCCAAATTGCACTCGAAACCATGCTATTACCTATACTAAACAGACCATACATGACGTCTCAAACTCCTGTAGGATATTAACTATTCATTTTTCCCCCTAAAAATTATGAATCTCATTGTTTGAATAGCCGTCGTCGTCACGTTGCCGTCCCACATCGAACAGGTCTCTATTTGGTGGAGGGATGAAGAAGAATTTAATTTAGCACACATATATCTATGTACAAGTATTATATAAATGGTATAAATGTAAATGGAATAAAAGAGTAAAAATTATGTAGAGGTATATAGTAATCAGATGTGCACAGTGGTCAAAGTAGCGTAAGGCTTTCGAGTATGGCACAAGGCGCTGAACGACAAATTTTGAAAATGAATTATAGTCTCTAGATCGCCGGAAATGGCATTTTCAGATTCTTCTGTACCTCTTTTGTTAGGCCTATACTATCGCTAAGTTTATTTTCACTGGTTTAAGTAGTTTTAGATTTGTAACTGGTATAAATTACAGAAACCCTTGCAATTTCCTTTAAATTTTGTTGCACAACATTACGCTACGTACAGTATGCCCTAGACCATACATGATTTCTTGTATAGGGTGTATGATATGTACATTTGCCACAAATTTACCTGAATTTACTTAATCTTTTCCACCGTTTAAGTGGCAGGGAAATTTTGTGGGAAAAAGCAGCTGGAAAAGTTGCTGTTGCTGTGCAGAGAAATTGCTGGCGCACGCGATATTTGACAATTAGAAAATTTTAAAAACAACACGAGTGAAATTTCAACATATGATTTGCATTTTTATATTCACCTGTAGGGCATGTAATAATATATCAAACAGCTTTTAAAATTAATTTGACCAATCAACTTGTAGGATTTGTTATATTCACTTGTGCAAAAATACTAACAATAATTATGACTTTAATATACTTCTGATTTATACCTGTTTTGTTCCAAGCGTAACATTGTATGTGTTTATGTCCTCTCCAAGTCCTTCGGCCAGAACTTGTAACAAATCTCGCCCACTTGAGAAAAGATCAATACTGATAGGTTGTATTTGTGATTTGCTCTTTCTTGCAAAGATCTGACTTTTATAGCTTCCTGACCATCTGTTTCTTTTTAAGGGTGAAATATGTATTAAAAAAGGTAGAAGCGAAATGAGACAATTTCAGAATACTTTCCTCATAGCAATTAAGGTATTGTGATTTTAATTAAAACCAGGCTTCCATGGAGTCTTTCAACCGAATTTTTACTTGTCATTATGCATATAAAGCAAAGTTAGCAACAGAAATATGTCAAATTTTTCACTTGGTGTTCTGCATGTTTTGAGAATTTTTGCTATTAATAATAATATTCAACTTTGTGTGCACGACAACTGTGCAGGCTCTTTTAAACATGTATAATGGTCAATGCATTAGGCCAAATAAAAAAACAAACTTGGTTAGCGTCACCGCCCGCCTCTCGATTTCTGCCGCCTCTGAACTTTTAAAATTTTCTATGTAAATCTCTTCGTTTTACAGCTTAAAACAGTTTAATATTTGAAATTTTTCTCATGCTCAGACATTCGCGCTATATACTGATCGATAGGAGCGTGTGGGCTTGGGTATACAAGGTTCTTATAGCAAAATGGCGGCTTTCGCAAAATCAGTACAAAAATATCACCGATATGGTGGAAAAACCGCCCCCATTCCCACAAAAAATACTATTAAAAAATTTAAAAACGAGTAAATATTAAAAAAAGCCCTCCCGCCTCTGAATATTTGTGAGAGTGTGGCGCTAAACAAGTATTTTTTTTTTGCCTTATCTATCTCCCATCCAATGGAAGGGACTAAGGGACCGGTCATTAATAATGGGAGGGGGGCGGTGGGTGAGAAAAGGGGGCAGCTTCAACTATTTTTGCCCATTAAAAAATTTCAATATTTGGTATTTATCACCCACCACCCCCTCTCCATTATTAATGACCGATCCCTAAGACAGCTTGTTCACAGGTTAATAATCACAAAGTACTCCTTTGGAACAATTCATGAATGTAAACTTGCATAATTCAATGTAATATTCTGGCAAAAAGAAATACAAAGGAATTAAATTGAATGCATACAAGATGTATTGTGTATGATAAAGGATTTCAATAATAAAATTAGGATAATTGTTTTAAAATTAAATGTATTAATCTATTTTGTTATACCTTTTTCTTGGTATCTCACATTCACTTTTTTCAAGCAAGGAATTGGAATTTATTGACTACATAGGATAAACAAGATCATACATGGTATAATATTTTACAAATTCAGAATGATATTTGCCAATCGATTTTACTCAGTTAAAATTTAAAAAATGCTTGCCTTACATACGCATGCATGATTCACAACCGCTGCCTGAGCAGCCGAACTCTATACACATGGTAGCCTCATGACGTCTGTCAATTTCTTTTTAAATCACAATGCGAAGTCAAGTATGATGATCATGAAGGCATTCTTGGGCGTCAGTTTCATAATTTGCTTATTATCACAATTTACTCAATTTGTCGGAATATAAAGCAAATTAGAGTAATACAAACGTGGTTTGATTTGCTATCCACTCTGCTTAGTGTATTTTTCAACTCTATTTGTGTGAAAAGCACAATAGGCCAGGACCTTTTTTAACTATATAACTGGTGCCCCCCCC